TTCTGCCTCTAGAACCCAACAGGTGTTCCCACACTTTTAATTATAATTTTTATCTCACCTAGACAGTTATGATATTATGGCCCACCAAAATATTTTTAAATTGGAAGATGGGGAATGTCACATTCTTTTTTTTAGTAGAGTGCTATTTATTTTCCTTATGAATGTCATTGGTCACCTTACTTGTAATGTTGAAATGTTAATAAACCTGAACTTAACTATCAGGACCACTTGCCATTGGATATCTACTCCATTCTGATAAAAAAAAATATTTAGATTTGGGAAGATTGGCTAATACATCTGGCTTTGCCATTTCAATCTGCACTTTTTCTGTCATTTCTTTCAGGCTGAGGATGTTTAGACAGAATTCTGACCCTGTTAGAGGGCCGAGGAGAAGGAGGGTGCAAACACGGCATGTAACATTCAGAGTTGGCCTCATCCTCCTTCCTGATTTGGAAACATTCCATCCCCAAAAAGGTATGATACTAAATTATGCATAAATCGTCATTGTAGGAGAATACTGCACAAATTATTATATGGTAGTGATTTTATTTATGCACATTTTTTGGTAGTGGAAGCTTTAAAAAAAATTCAGGTGCCAGTGTCTCTATCGGCCGAGGAGTTCCTTGATGTTCCGAAAACTGCTTTTCCAAGACTGGGCAGCACTGATTTCGACTTGGCCAGGGTTGATTGTCATAAAAAAATTAGAAGACTTAATGTTTCTCCACTTTCACCATCTGTGCTGAAAGCCAGCGGAGCGCTAAATCGGTCAGCTCTGTATCTACTCCCAAAGGTACTGTAAGTGGACCATACCTTGAGCTTAATGTTGTTTAATCAAAGACGTTTTTATGCACAACCTACACATTCTGATTTTAACACTTCCTAATTTGAATATTACTGGTAATTTCTCTATTCTTGACTTGTTTTATATATACATAATGTTGGCTATAACTTTTGATTTTGGTTATGAGTGATCTTGATGTTTTGATATTGAACTTATGGTTTTTATAAAATGTAATTTGATCACAGTCTTCTCAGTTGTTTAAAAGTCTATCAAAATGTTGTTCAATTTTCCAAAAATATAATTGTTTACTTTTTTTATTTTATTTAAAGATTCATTTAATTACCCCTTAGCAGATTCTGACTACTACAATTGAACTTATGTTTATTCTCTACTACTTAAAGGAGCGTTTGGAAGGGCAGGCTGAAGAACGGCAAGAAGAGTGTCATGTAAGGATGTTTTTTTTTAACCACCTTACAGATTTGCAATGAACAACATTTAGCAGTTTACTGAGGGTGTAAACATCCAGATGATGTAATCTTAAATGTTGTTTTGGTTTGTTAGGATGAAGGCAGCGGCTCTGGCCAAAGCCTGGACCAAGATGATGTAGGCAAAACCTGTTTCTAGATTTGTGTACTTCATACTAGTGGTGTAACGGATCACAAAACTCACGGTTCGGATCATATTGCGGTTTTCGAGTCACGGATCAGATCATTTTTAGGATCAGAAAAATAAATAAATAAAATACAAATAAAAATGGAGGTTTTAAGACAAATGTAACTTTGCTTAACATTTTAACTTAAAAAAAAAACACTTTAAGTAGGCCTACTTTGATAACACAGCAAAAACTCCTAACTAATAAAGTTCAAACATCATTAAAGACAAGTGAACAGACAGTAAAAATAAGAATACACAAATTAAAATATCGATAAATACTATAGAACAGTAAATAAAGTTGGGTCTAATAGTACTCATGTACAGAAATGTAGTAATTAGGGGTGTCGCGATATATCGCGATTGGCGATAACCATGATATTTAAAATGAACAGGACACTTATGATCACACGACATGCAAATAGCCTACTCTAGTGCCAGTACCTGATTGACCTCCCAGGTGGCAGTACTGCGCCTTAACGCTGACACCTGTCACACAAGAAGACGCAGCTTGCAGCCGCACTACTCCGAGAAGAACCAATAGTATCCATGCTGCGGGTCTGCAGATGGATATATCTCAGAAGAACCATGTTCAATATTATCCAGACAGTAAGTTGCCATTATTTTACTAGTCATTGAATGGGAAATGTTACATTAACCTGTTAACAGCGGTTTCCTGTTTTCATATATTGAAATAAAAGGGTGATTCTTTTAATAAGTACCGCGTTTTCTTTACTCCTCTATTTTTTGTATTTGTATTTGCAATCAAGTCATGGCCAATACTGCCTTGACAATCTGATGGGTAGGATAAAATGTCAGTACACCTGCACAACTATAGGTTAAAGAGATTAAAATATGGGTATGCAAGTTAACAGGTTAAAGTATCAGTTTTGATGTTAATATTTATTCATTATACTGTTGAACTTGACAGTATTTTCTCTCTTGTTATTTCATAGGGAGCTTCAAAGAAGACCGAGAAAGCCAGAGTCTCAGGTCAGCTGTGACCTGAAGAAGAATAAGTGAAAATGCATGTGCCCTGTGTTTATCAGTATCCTTATGTTCATTGGGTAAAAAGAAAAACTAAATAAACAAAGTGAAAATTAATTTGGCGGATTCCCTAAGGTTTCTATAGATATTGCGATATATCGATATTGTGAATTCTTTTGGACACAATAACCGTGGTGTGAAAAATCTAATATCGTGACAGCCCTAATCCGTACCCACAAATTCATAATCCGTGCGCACGCTTTCGCAATCCGTTCCCTCGGGTTTGTAAACTCATGGATTTGTGGCCCCGCCCCCACCGGCAGATTCAACCACGGTGCGGGATGCATAGTATTGTGTTTATTAAACATAATTTTTCATAGTAGCCTATGAGACCATGATCCACACTCACGAAATAGTCTTATTACCAATAGGATAAAACACCGCCGCCTGTGTTTTATAGCCTAAAATAAACGCTAAAAAGAAGAATAGAAAATTTCTGAATTTTCTAAAAAAAACAAAAAAAAACAATGCAGAGCACTAATTCCTAGTATGGGTCACCATACTTGGCCACATGTCACTTGACTTCACTAGTAACTTTAACAGTGAAGCATGCATCTAACTTTGGGGGAAAAAGCTTAGTATAATAAAATCACCTAAATAAGTGTGAATGAATTAATAAAATGTGTTAAGAATGAATAGTACACAAATACATTTCCAAAACTGTAAAAGGTTATTTAAAAACAAAGCATTCATGAATTATTTTATGACAAACATTTTACTATCTTAAGTGCACTCATTTATTTAGCCTATAAATTAAAATAATAATAATAATAATAGCTATTATTATTATTATTATTATACATTTAGGTTATATATATGCATTAAGAAGAAGCTTTTATCCCAAACGACTTACAAAAGAGGAACAAATGACTACAAAAGTCAGTCACAATGCCAAGTTTATTATACAATAATAATCAAGTGCTAAGATTATCACAAATTAAACAAGATTTTGATGCACATCTTTCTTATTAAATCGTTGTATTCCACCTCTATCAATTCGTTACAATTGATAGAGAATCACTTAAGACAATTTGCTGTAGGCCTATTTCACATAATAATATATCAGCAAACATTGGTCCGATGGCAACGTCGTGTCCCTGGCCAAAAATAGTCGCGGTAGGATGGCATAAATCGGTAAAAATATGTAACACAGAACATTTCCTAAACATTGGTCCAACGGCAACTTCGGCAACTACGTAGGACGAAATAAATCGGTAAAAATATGTAAAAATTTCATAAAAACTTTTCCTAAAAATGCATTCAGATACGTTTGTACATCTCTACAGTTCTCTGGGGTTGCATGTATAATTGTTACCTTGACTTTTAGCTACGTGTAGTTGTGAATTAGTTGTGAGAGGACGTCCACTGACGTCTTTTACACGTGCATTTATAGTCCATCACCACCCTCTATGAAATTCCTATGAAATATGCAAAAGCAATTGTGCTTACACCTTTGTTAATACTCCAATAATTAAATTAAGTGCCCTAAGTAGTTTTTAAGAGGTTGTGAGTAACGTCCACTGACGTCCTTTACAAGTCTATAGTCGACCAAGACCAAATGTAAAAAAAATCAGTAAATCTTTATGAAATACACAATCATTTGTATATACATCACGATAATTTGTATTTAGTTTAATGACTAATTGTATTTCCCTACATTACGATACGATTTTATTTTATTTTTTAAATAAAATTTATGCATATACATATGAAACAGATATATATCTGGTCACCATTTCAAGTCTGAGTTTTATGTGAATTTCCAAAACTCTGCTGCCAAGATGTTGTAACATATCTCGCGATTTTTGCGAAATCCGATATAATAGATTATCTCGCGAGAGAGCGTTAACGCATTTCCCCGTTTCTTCAAACGATCACAAGGAGAGGACTTGAGGAGGGCGCTTTTTTTTATTGCGAAAGTCGACGAATTATTAAAAATCTACTGTTGGGTAAGTACATTTTGTAGTATTTTATTAATGTGGTTGAGTTTTACTTTTTTGACACGAAGGAACCGAAAGAAATGCGCACATTGTCAACTGAAATGTAGTTTGAGTTTGGCTAAAATTAGCTAACTTAGTAGGCTAAAAGTAGGGCCAGTGTGAATAAATCTAGATTTAAATTCAAAGAGAAAAGACAGTCTATGCATGACCTGGCATTTTATTCGTATCCAAAACGAGGAGATGTGAACATGCAGTGTATGTTTCATTCATACTCGAAGCCTGAGGTCGCTCTCGCGCAGAAAGTCCAAAGGACTCATAGAAGTACTTATGACATGCCAGCCAGGAAATCCCTAATTTGGGCAAAGGCATCCCGCTATTGCTGAATTAAAAAAAAAACGTCAAGACAATACATGCATGATTATGACAATATATGGTTTATTTGTGTTTTTCAAGTCATCTCCAGGTAATATTGCTGAATAAAAAAAAACGTGAAGACGATACATGCACGATTAGGACAATATATGGTTTATTTCTGTTTTTCAAGTCATCTCCGTGTAATACACAAAGTATCTGAATAATGCAGTGCTAACTGACATAGCATTTATTACAGTAGGCTATAGAAACTATAAAATATATTTTCTACCTTATTCTGTGATTAAAATGGGGTGTGGTATATGAACAAATCATAAAATTGACATTAGGAAAATATTGGAAAATAATATTACAGAATACAAGTTACTGGTTATTGTCCAGCAGTTTATTTGATTTCTTAGCCAATTAAAAGTAAGAAAAATAAATAAAACCTGTTAGAACAAAAGAATAAAAGGTATTATTACATTTTACATTTCTGTCCCCTTCACTTCTAGGTTCAAAGCTTTCAGTAAACACTGGTTCAAAAACAGGTTCAAAGTGTGTGTTAACTTTAACAGTAATATTAATTTTAACAATTAGGTATCAGAATATAGCGTAATAAGATGGGTAGTTACAATAAAATTACAATTTGAAGAGATTTCAATCTCACTGTGTGCTCTAATGCTTTAAAAAAAAATTGTGTGGTGTTGAAAACATTTTTTTTTTCAGGTGGGCATTAAGTTTACGTAGAGTTAAGTCTTGTTGGGCCCACCCTAACACCCAGTTAGGTTTTGCAGATGATCCCTAGTTGGGCCCCACCTAAAACCCAGTGAAATCCTGCATAAAACCCACATGGGTAAGTTGCACGGGGCCAACATGGAACCCGTGGACAAACCCACTTACAACCCATATTTAGATGGGACCCAGATGGGTTTTGCATATCATCCCCAGTTGGGCCCCACCTAAAGCCCAGGGAAATCCTGCATAAAACCTACATGGGTATGTTGCATGGGGCCAACATGGAACCCATGGACAAACCCACTTACAACCCATATTTCAGCCCATGTAGTAACCTTGTAGTACCCACATAAAAAATAAAGCTGGGGCCAAGATCGGTCTTGCGCATTTTAAGAACCAAGAAATAACGTTCTAGGACCATTCTTTTTGGGTTTTATTTTTTGCAACCATAAAATAACATTCCCAGAACGTTGCAGGGTGGTTATTGTTTAATAACCTAAAAATTATTTATTGAGAACGTTCCCTAATGGTTATTTTTAGGTTATTATTTTGCAACCAATGGTGTTCCCAGAACGTTGCAGGGTGGTTATTTCTTTAATAACCTAAAAATAACATACAGAACGTTCACTAATGGTTATTTTTAGGTTATTATTTTGCAACCATAAGATAGTGTTCCCAGAACGTTGCAGGGTGGTTATTTTTAAAATAACCTAAAAATAACTTATACAGAACGTTTCCTGATGGTTGATTTTAGGTTATTGCAACCATAAAATAACATTCCCAGAACATTTCAGGGTGGTTATTTCTTTTAATAACCTAAAAATAACTTATACAGAACATTCCCTAATGGTTACTCTCAGGTCTTTCCAATGCTAACAGAATTACCAGAAGGTTTCAGTGTGGCATCCAAAATCGCTGGGATGAACAAGAGCCAGAAAAAACAATGGATGTGTCTTTCATAGTATATTCACTAGTGTAAGATTAGTTATCTAAAAATACAAAAGCACTGGTAAAGAGGAGAATCATC